AACTGCTCACAGGTAAAGTTCTTTAAATTATACATTGTGTGAACGATGATTTTTACAGAGCCTACTAAAAGTCTATTACTTTCTTTTGTTCATGGAGCATTTATCAACGAGAATACTATTTCAACATTTCCGTTGTGTCCTGGGATACAGTAGAATACTTCACATATTTTAAGCATCTCTGAAAAGCAACTTGCAATTGGACAAGCTTTAAAAAATAAAACCCACTGTTCGTGCAAGGGTATTTTAAAAAAATCCTCATTTTTTACCCAAAAGATTTTAGATTACAGTATTGGTCAAACAATTGTATATCATCCAAAATTGTACCTTTTTCTTTCGGGTATAAAATGATACCAAAAGATCAACAAATGTGCTGTCTTTTACTTTATTTAAAAACATCCAATTAAAGCACCGAAATTTATCAAAAGGTTTCAACCACTTTTCTAAATAAAGAATGCACGCTTCGTACACTAGCTTAATTTCTGCCACAAAGCAGTTATAATCTTTTTCTCTCTCACTTTCTTTAAACTTTTTTAATATATCTCTGACTTTAAGCGATAGGAATGTTTCATTTAACCGACCTTTTAAAACTGCCAAGGTAGAGTGAAGAAGGTTCATAACATCTAAAATTGATGTTTCTTTCCTTTCAACTACTGCAATATTCACTTGAAAGATAGACATCAAGGAATGCAAAAAACAAAGATATGCTTCTGAAAATTCATTCTCAAAAAATACTTTTATTGTAACAGGTGATTGATCTACAGAAATAAAGTATATTTTCAAAACATCAAATAACCTCAGCAATCTTTCAATAGCAGGAAACAAACTTAACCATCTAGTTTTAGAGTAATAGAGTAGTTGGTGATAACTAATGTCAACAGAGTCGTATAAATCTTTTAAAGATTCTGTTCTAAATGTGTATATAGAAAATAATTAAATATTTTCAAGACAACAGTTTTAACATCAATCTTCATTAAAGCTGTACCATGCTGAATGCAGTTATGCAAAACCTGGGCAGAACATCCAACACCTATCAACGGTTTTTTTAATGCTTCTTTCAAATACGAGAATACATTTTCGCCTACTTTTCTATTAATGCCTCCAAAATTTACATTAGCATTGTCTCCAGCAAAGCACCACACTTAGACGACAATTCGTATTTTCGGAGTATTTTTAAAATATATTGATATATAGTTTCAGAGGTTTCATTTGGTGTGTTATCTAAGGTGAGAATTTTAGTTTAAATACCACTTGCCTTCCAGTCAAAGTATTGAATAACAATCGGAAACACTTTCTGTGAACCGTGGTTGCTAGCATCTGTGGAAAGACCGAAACATGATATGCTATCAAATGATTTCACCAGTTGATCAACAGTGTGGGGGCCAATTACATGGTTCATGATTGCCTCAGTTTTTGTTTTAGAAAATGCGATATTTTTTGCGATTTCCGAATCTTCAAATAGCGTGTACATTAAACCAGCTGTGCAGGCCATTGAGTTTTAAGACTGATTATGGCAACTGTATGAAATGTTAAAGTTGCTTCAGCTGCGTAATCTTTTTGCAATATCTTAGATTTTTTAGGTTGAAAAAAGGACATCAACTTATTCGATGACGCTGGCACTTTGATAAGGTTTTTATGTTTTTCGCTGCTAACATGGCACTCTAAGTTAGTTGCTCCGTTGTTAGCGACCGACAAGTAAATATCACAAATTTTACACTTTGCCTCATTCTCGTAGCGCCTTTCAGCAAAACAAGAATACTTTGTTTTCATAGTACTTGAGAGTTTTCATTTTCTCTTAGAAGAAACTGAAGCCATCTTTATAAAAAAAGTCGGAATTTAATATAAGTGCTGTTGTTGCTATAAAAACCTGAGCAAAAACAGACATGCAAAATGTGCTGAGTTAAAAACGTTTCAATTAAAATAGAATAGATTTATACTTTTTTTAAATTTTTTAATTACTTCTCTGTTCTAAAAAACAATAAAAAAGCTACAAAATTATTATCGTTTGAGAACAGTTTTAAATAGAATGAAACATTTTTGAATGGAATGAATTTTTTTTAATGGAATGAAACAGTTTTGAATGTAATGAAACAGTTTTGAATGAAATGAAATTGTGTTCTAACTTTAATTGTTTAGATTTTTGTTTGACTAATGAATCAGTGGACATTATGACAAAATGAACATTGCAATACGGTTCGAAAAGCGATACGCACAGAGTTAAAAGTAAAAATTGACGTTTTGATTAAATTAATTTTTAAATTAAAACGTCAAGTTCAACTTAAGTAGAACTTTTTTTTAAGTACTTGAAAAAAAATTATACGTCAAAAAAAACTTTTAAAAGTTATACAGTTTTAAGAATACATAAGTACCTAAAAAAATAAAGAAAAAAATAACTAAAAAAAATGAAAAATATATAACATAAAAAAGCCGGAAATTTTTAACGTTTTCAGCTTCGCCTTCCGGAAAGATGACAAAGGATAAAAAAGGAGGACATGTCCTCCTGTTGCCGGACGTCTGGCTAGTGCCGGATGCTTTTTTTTTTTTTTTTTTTAAAGTCATTTTTAGGGTCTGGCCCATCAAAAGGCCTCCTAAAACAAAAATAGCCCCGGGCCCCGAGAAGTCTTAATCCGACACTACGTCTGGCAACCCTATATATATATATATATATATATATATATATATATATATATATATATATATATATATATATATATATATATATATATATATATATATATATATATATATATATATATATATATATATATATATATATATATATATATATATATATATATATATATCTTTTAAACAAATTTACTCAAAAAGTAACAGTATAAAAATTATTTAATGAAGTATAATATTTGTTCAATAAAAGTTACTTAAAATGATAAATATTAAAAAAATTATTATAGATATTAAAAAACTATATATCTTTCAATATTTCTTATAAACACATTCTTTCAACAATTTTTTTAAACACCTTTTATGACTACACTAACTACAAACAGATTTAATTAATGTATTTCATCATAACAGCACACCACTGGGGTGGACAACAATCTTGCTCCCAACAAACCCAAGTCAGATTTTAGCAAAGTACACCACTTGGCTAACAAAACCACTTGGCTAACAAAACTTGGCCAACTGGCTAACAAAACTTGGCTTACTAAAACTTGGCTAACAAAACTTGGCCAATTGGTAACACCACTTGGCTAACAAAATTAACACTCTTGCTGTAAACAAAGGTCTCTCATAAAACTCCGTGTTAAAACGCGCACGAATGGTGAGCAACTACTCGGAAGCGTTAAGTTATAAATATTTATAGATAGATAAATAAAGAAATAAACATAATTACATTTTGATGATTTTTAAGTAAACAAAAAATTTTTTTAGGGGAGATTTTTTCCTAGCGGGGAGATTTTATCCAGGAGGATTTTTTCTCGAGAGATTTTTCCCAGGGGTATTTATTCTCAGGAGGTATTTTCCTAGAACCGAAATAAAAGGTGGAGCTAGAAATTTTAGCCCAGAGCTATTTAACGGTAGGAGGAGGGGGGAAGGAGGGGGGATTTAAATAAAAAGGAGATAGGAATTTTTTTATGTTACAATATAAGTATTTTTTATAAAAAATTTCAGTTTATAAATAGTTTTTACAAGGCACGCATAAAGCTTTTTAAATCTAGTATGGCTTGCAATAAATTGCACATTTTCTAACAGCTGTTTTATAATTATTTTAATAAGATTTAATATGTTGATATAAGTTTTGTACTTTAGTGAGTAATAAATTAAAAGCTCATTTCCGGATAATGGAGATTCACTTGGTCGATGATTTTTAAAGACTGTTTACACTGAAATTTTTGTTTTTATTAGTGACTGAAATAATTATTATCTGATTTTAGGCCGATTTTCACTGATTTTTTTTGTTTTGTTGATAACATGTAAAAATCAATAAATAGGGGGTCTAGATAAGCTTGGGGTGGGTGGTAAAATGTTTTAAAAATTAATGAACGTCCTCCTTTTTAATAGGTACTCGAGAGTAAGTGCTATTTGAGTAAGTTTCGAAACAATTGGAGAAATGCCTAATGTAAAAGCAAATAACTAAGCAGAAAAAATGGTAGTAATTGATCATATTTATCCCCAACAATAAAAGATGTACAGGTCAGATTAAACTCACTTTTACAGAGCTATATAAATTTTGCAACGAGGACAAGTGATATTTATTAAATGAAATAGAAATAGAATCAATAATTATACATTAGTTGTACCCGATTTAAAGGTCACATAAATCGGAGACTGGACTGTTAAAACATTTATTAAATTTTAAAATTTTTTTTGTTACAATAACAATAAATGTTATTGTATTATAAAGATAAATTACAATACAACAATTATTGTTATTGTAAGGCGTGATTATATTTATATTTTTTTCTCCAGATATTGTTATTGTATTATAAAGATGAATTGCAATACAATATTTATTGTTATTGTATTACAGTATTAAAATAATTGCAAATCAAAAGTATTGTTATTGTTTCTAAAAAGATAATACAATGACAATAGTTAATGCTTCTGTTATTTTTTTTATTCCAATTACAATAGCCCGAATCTTAGAAACTAATATAAACAGCTGATAAAAAATGCGCAATTGACTGCAAGCCACGCTAGATTTAAATAGTTTTATGCGTGTTTTGTAAAAAAACTAGTTTGGATTTATAGACTGAAATTTATAAGAAAAAAATACTTATATTTAAAAAAAAAACAACTTCCATCCCCCTTTAATAAACCCCCCTCTCCAATGTTCATTAGATCTGAAAAAAAATAAACATATAAATGTTCAAAGACGTTCTTAACGTCTTTTCAACGTTCAAAATACATTTGTTATGTAATGAGCGTATTGTAGCAATCACAGAATTTATTGGACTTTAGGAAAAATTTAACATTCAGAAAAAGTAACAAAAAAAAAACAAGTGTGTCTTGTTGATTAAAACAAAAAAACGATAAAATTAAAAGTATACACAAAGTTAAATCATATTTCAAATTACATATACAAAAAACATCATAAAAACTGTTATCGTGGTTTAGATTTTTATGGCCATCAACGCCTTTTCTATCCGGCGATCTTTTTAGGATATCTCCAACGCAATTTTCTAGCTCACTTTCGGAATACTTGGCATGGTCTCTGCAAAATACAAAAAAAAAAAATCAGAATATAAAATAAAGAATATAATAATGATTCAATCAAGTTACTTTTTACAATTGTGAAGACTAACTGAACGCTTATTATGTAATAAGTATTGTATTTGTATATATATATATATATATATATATATATATATATATATATATATATATATATATATATATATATATATATATATATATATATATATATATATATATATATATATATATATATATATATATATATATATATATATATATATATATATATATATATATATATATATATATATATATATATATATATATATATATATTTATATACATATATATATATATATACAAATATATAAATATATATATATATATTTATATTTATATATATATATATATATATAATTTCAGGCGCGGGTACAACATATATATATATATATATATATATATATATATATATATATATATATATATATATATATATATATATATATATATATATATATATATATATATATATATATACACATATATATATATATATATATATATATATATATATATATATATATGTATATATATACATACATATATATATATATACATATATATATATATATATATATATATATATATATATATATATATATATATATATTTTTTTTTTTTTTCTATACCTTATACCTTCTGAACCAATAACAAACTTTCCTTGACCTTCCTGATCTTCAAGAAATTTTAAATCTCCAATCTTGTCTCTAAGGTATTCAATGCTTTTATTTCACTGCTTAAGCTTTGGTTTAATCTCTATTACTTTATTCTCTTTTTCCACTAATTCTAAAATCAAAAACTAATATTAAAACATTTCTATAAATTAGGAAATAGAAAATATAAGGAAGAAAAATTGTTTCCTATAAGTTTGGGAGATGATGTACCCAAGGTTAAATATATAGACACAGATCTAAGCGAGGATTCTTCAATTTAATCTGATTTTGAACCAGGCGATTGGTATCATATAGAAGTTTCTAAAAACCCAGTCACAGTAATTGCAAAAATTCCAAAAGATATTTTTGCTGGTAATGTTTCTCTTATTGCCACAGCCTGTGATATATCACTAAATTTTTTACAGAAGGTAACAAATGCAATTCTATATCAATCGGGTGTTGACCTTAAAGAAGTTAAAAGCAGTCAGTCTACCGCATATAGAAAAATTAAAAAAAAAAAAAAAAATATATCAACAATTGCAAAAGAAGATGTTTATAAGTAGCCATTGATGCATCCCCCTATCCATGTACAATTCGTTTTGACGGCAAGACATTATTTGAAATAAACAAAGGAAAAATTTTAAAGAAGGATAGAATGACGGTTTTAATTAACATTAATGGAGATTCTTACCTACGGAGTACCTCCGCTGTTGTCATTCACCGGTGAAGATCAATTTTGTGGTATAATAGATTTAAATAAAGAATATAGTATAGAATAAGTATAGAATAAGTAACGAACTAACAATGCTTCACTTTTGGAAATTAGTGACAAATGATAAAACGAATAGACCTGATAATCCGCTTTTCAAAAGTTTTTTTTTGAAGAACCTAATTTTAATTATAATCCAATTCAACTCTTACGGTTTGATTAGAATAATGTTAAAAGAAATCTTTTAAAGAAGGCAGCTGAGATTTCATTAACATTATGTAGAGTTTACATTGGTAAACCAAGTATTAAAAGAGTTGATAGAAGTGAGTTTGCAGAATTAGTTGTCACCTACTTATCCCCTGTTACCTATAAAGTAAGAAAAACAGATGCTATTCACCATGCAAGATTTTTAGGATACGCAATTTATTATCTATAACTTCAACTTCTATCCAACCAACTTACATTTGTTCTAGAAAACGATAAACTAAATACTGAAGTAAGGCTTATTACTGAATATATTGTTTGATTTTATGCAAAATGGTATTTACAATCTGAGGATGTCATCAAAGCTCCTTTTCTTGATATTTCAGCCAAACATCAAATGCATCTGTACAAGAAGGTATGCACAAACCCAGCTGCTGTTGATGCTGTATTGGAATCTCAGTATAAACATTTTTGGTATTTGGACTCAACAATGATTCCTCTAGCTTTGCTAGATGATGATTTAACATTAGAGGAAAAGACAAAAATTGCATCAGCAATTCTTTTATTTGACAAGCCTAGCTCTGACTTTTATAAGCCTGAGAAGAAAGTAAAACAAGATATCAAGGAAATTTAGAAATGATTATAAATATTGGAAAAAAACCAGTATCCTTGTCTGTCTTAGTTGATGACTTTTCTTACCTAATTTTTGACATGATTGGTCTTGATAAGCAACGAGTTAAAGACTGGCTGTCACTTCCACGAAAATATTGGCATACCCAATCTTGCTTTAAAAGTATGCTGAAAAATATGCTGAAACTTTGATTTTTGTAAATGACCATTCAGAACGGTCTATAGGTATGATGGCGCAGTATATTCAAAGAAGATCGAATGATACTGAAAAACAAAACAGATTGCTCACTGTAGACAAGGTTCATTCTGTATTCCGATCACCAGAACAAAAATCTAGTAAAATTTCAAAGATTAAGTTAAATGATGGGTTTGGTGTGATGCAGAAAAAGATAAAGAGATAAACCTGATTAATACAAATGTATTGAGTTTTTATCTTTTATAATATTTTAAATATACAATTATCTTTTTGTTTATTTATTTCAATAAAGATAAATATTTCAAAAAAATTGTTTTTTGGGACATCCTCCCCCCCACCTCCTCCATAAAATACAAATTTTCATAATTTTCAAAACCACGAAACATAGATTTTTGAAGGTTAATAAAAAACCATACAGTTTTAAACTAAGATTTAGGTCTTCATATAGTAAATAAAACAAAAAAAATTGAAAAAAATATATGTAACCCCTCCCTCAAGACGCCCGGAAATGACCACTTTTCGGTCCTTTTTTTCCTGAATTTTGGGCTTGAGGAGGGAGGTTGGTCAAAAGTGGTCCAGGAACGCTCAAACCTTTGAGGCTTATTTTCAAAATATTTGCCCAAAATTTAGGGGTATGGTTTTTTTGTTTTGAAAATTTACTTTTTTTGACTCCCCCAAATATATATATATATATATATATATATATATATATATATATATATATTTATATATATATATATATATATATGTATATATATATATATGTATATATATATATATATATTTATATATATATATATATATATATATATATATATATATATATATATATATATCTTTATATATATATATATATATATATATATATATATATATATATATATATATATATATATATATATATATATATATATATATATATATATATATATTTATATATATATATATATATATGTATATATATATATATATTTATATATATATCTTTATATATATATATATATATATATATATATATATATATATATATATATATATATATATATATATATATATATATATATATATATATATATATATGTATATATATATATATATATATATATATATATATATATATATATATATATATATATATATATATATATATATATATATATATATATATATATATATATATATATATATATATAGCCATTAAATCAAGCCATTAAATACAAAATGAAATACAAAAAACCCGCTAAAAATTACAAAATACTGTGTAGTGGGATCTTAACATCGCGAAGAACCACTTGATGGCAATCAAATAAAAAACCAAAATAAAAGCTAATCACCGGGGTCAAAAAAAGATAAACGGAATTTAATCTTGTGTCTGCGTTTTGAAATCAACTCATTTCGTTTATTTAATAAGTTATCACCTTTATATGTTAAAATAAGGAATTTTTTGAATAAGCAAAGACTGCAAATTTTTGACGAGGCGTTATAAGTATTGCAACGTTTTTCACATTTCCACTTAATTAAGGGTGTAAACATTTTGTGTTTTATGTCCCGAATTTCATTAGACAATTCCGTATCATTTTTATATTTATTATTATTAAAAGATTTTAGGTGATTAGCATACCGAGATTTGAATGGAGTTTCACATAAGCCAAAATATACTTTTTCTTTGTAGTCTATAGATACAAAAATACTCAAATTAAAATTTTAGGCTTATAATAGATTATTATTACTATTGTGATTATTATTATTATTATTTGTGATGTTAATATTGCTTACAATTTATATAGAATTTTATTACCGTCATTATTACTTATTAAAATTGTTTAATATATAAATGTGGTATTTGTTAACATTATTATTATTATTGTTAATTTTATTGTTATTATTGCTTTTATTATTATTGCTATTATTATTGTTGTTGTCATTTTATTGTTATTATTAATAATATTAATGTTGTTATTATTGCTATTGTTATTATTGTCATTATTATTGTTGTTGTTATTATAATTACTAATATAATCATTTTTATTGTCATTATTATATTTAATATTATTATTGATATTTTTATAATCGTCTTCATTTAATTTACATTATTATTATTATATGATTGCTATTATTATTTAATTGGTGTTTACATTAGATTAGTACTCGTACTATTAGTAAACAACTATGAAATGTAAACTTTCATTTCCCAATATATATATATATATATATATATATATATATATATATATATATATATATATATATATATATATATATATATATATATACATATATATATATATATATATATATATATATATATATATATATATATATATATATATATATATATACATATATATATATATATATATATATATATATATATATATATATATATATTATATATATATATATATATATATATATATATATATATATATATATATATATATATATATATATATATATATATATATATATATATATATATACTATTATTATTATTATTATTTTATAAACATCAATAAATACGATTTTCTCTCAATACCAAATTTATTTTTTATTTTTTAAAAGAAATTTTTGCTGGATTGTTGTGACCAGCGTCTTCAGCTTAAAAGATTTTGTTTGTTTTTGTTTATATGTTATTCCTAAATGGCAATTTTATCACGAGAGATTGTTACAAAGCCAAATTTGCTTTGTAACAATACCTCATGATAAAGCAATAAAAAAGATTCGAGAACAAATTGGGCTAACTAAAATAGTCAATGAAGATCCGACTCAAAGTTACGCAATGAAAATCAAAGTCCAACTATCGAAATTAAATAAAAAAGGTCGGTTTACAAATAATGAATATCAGCAAATTTATCCCAATGACCCAATACCACCTCATATGTATAATGTAGTGAAGGCATATAAACCTGAAAAATCTTATCCAATGCGAATTGTAGTATCTACATTAGACACACCCAACTACGGAATCTCAAATTACTTAGTAAAACTAATACAACCAATATTAAATGAAAACCCAACTCGATTAAAAAATTCGCAACAATTTGTAGAAAAAGCAAAATCATGGGACATATCCAGTGACGAAATTCAGATATCATTAGACTTTATAAACTTATACCCGTCAATTCCACTTAAAGAAGCAACTAATGTACTTATAAGTATATTGGAGGTGAGCAATAATTTTAAAAAAATGACAAGATTAAATATAAAAGAAATAAAAACTCTGATAGAACTATGTTTATACCGACCATACTTTTTATGGAACAATGAAATACATGAACTTGAAAATTCAGGTCCAATAGGTCTTTCTTTTATGGTAGTTTTAGCTGAATCTTTTCTTCAAAATCTTGAAAAAAGAGCGCCTAATATAGCGCTGAAAACCAACCTGATTATTGACATAAAATCATTTTGTAGGTACGTAGATGACAGCCATGCTAGAGTCCCTAACATTGCCCAGGCTAATCAATTCAAGACAATACTTAACCAACAGCATCTAAAAAATACAATATACAATCGAATTTAAAAATGAAAAAAAAACACTAAATTTTCTTGACTTATGCATAATAAATAAAAAAAATGGCAAATACGAGTTTAAAATACACAGAAAAAATGCAATTACTAACATTCAAATTAAGGCAACATCAAACCATGACCCACAAATTTTAAATGCAATATTCAAAGGTTTTGTACATAGAGCATTTAATGTATGCAGTCAGAAACATATAGAAAATGAACTGAAATTTCTTATTCAAGTATATTTTGAA